GAATTTTTCAAAAGCCTATAACTTGAGTACTATTTCAGATAGATAAATGAAATTTGATATGTAAGTAAAAGATCTAATTCTCTACCTTCTGTCATATTTTGAGTAATTTCCGTTGACCGGAAGTACTTATTTACGCTATTTCCGATTTCTCAAAAACGCATGTAAATTTATAAAGTACTAATAATATTGCGCACTATTATGCGCTTTTTTTATTTAGCGTTCACTTGGTGTGCATTTCTTTTTTCTACGAGATTATATTCTATTTTAAGAAATGTGAGTATTTAAAATGGATTAAAAATAATGTCTAGAAGTCTATATCCCGAGTTGCCATCCCCCGTAGTGTTATATGAGAATATTCGAGAAAGTTTAGGGGAGATCACTCCCGGTTTATTTTGTTATAGAGTTATGAGAATATCAATCACGGAGTTTCTGTGTAGCCAATTAATGTTTGTCTGACGTACCTTGATCAAATAATGTTCAACTTTTCGTGTTGACTATTTTCCAATGACGCAATGCATGACCAAAGTCTATAAATAACCACTACTAATTAACTGAATCACGCTGCTGAGTAAATAATGAATAAGGTTTATTAATTAACGTTTGACCTACATATCTTATCACTTAATTAACACATGTAGGTGTTAATCAGCCTGTGATATAATCAGCTCACACTGTGCAGGTATTCGATGATTAGATATATGAGGTCATGATAGAAGGTCATGGCGAACTTAAATATCGGTAGAATAGGTGAGGTCTCGGCGAATGTAACAGGTCTTGGCGAATGTAAAAGGTCTCGGCGAATGTAGCAGGTCTTGGTAGAATTCATGAGGTCTTGGCGAACTTAAACATCGGTAGTATAGGTGATGTCTCGGCGAATGTAGCAGGTCATGGCGAATGTAGCAGGTCATGGCGAGCTTAAACATCGGTAGAATAGGTGAGGTCATGGCGAATGTAGCAGGTCATGGCGAATGTAGCAGGTCATGGCGAACTTAAACATTGGTAGAATAGGTGAGGTCATGGCGAATGTAGCAGGTCATGGCGAATGTAGCAGGTCATGGCGAACTTAAACATTGGTAGAATAGGTGAGGTCATGGCGAATGTAGCAGGTCATGGCGAACTTAAACATTGGTAGAATATGTGAGGTCTCGGCGAATGTAAAAGGTCATGGCGAATGTAAAAGGTCATGGCGAATGTAACAGGTCATGACGAATGTAACAGGTCTTGGTAGAATAGATAAGGTCATGGCGAATGTAAAAGGTCTTGGTAGAATAGATAAGGTCATGGCGAATGTAAAAGGTCATGGCGAATGTAAAAGGTCATGGCGAATGTAACAGGTCTTGGTAGAATAGATAAGGTCATGGCGAATGTAGCAGGTCATGTCGAATGTAAAAGGTCATGTTGAATGTAAAAGGTCATGGCGAATGTAAAAGGTCATGGCGAATGTAAAAGGTCATGGCGAGTGTAACAGGTCATGTCGAATGTAAAAGGTCATGTCGAATGTAAAAGGTCATGGCGAATGTAAAAGGTCATGGCGAATGTAAAAGGTCATGGCGAATGTAAAAGGTCATGGCGAGTGTAACAGGTCATGTCGAATGTAAAAGGTCATGTCGAATGTAAAAGGTCATGGCGAATGTAAAAGGTCATGGCGAATGTAAAAGGTCATGGCGAGTGTAACAGGTCATGTCGAATGTAAAAGGTCACGGCGAATGTAACAGATCGTTAGATTAGGTGAGGTCACAGGCGAATATAGCAGGTCACGGCTTAAGTAAAAGGTCTTGGTAAAACAGAATCGAATGGGTCACTACGATCACAAGTCTAGTAAGATGATAGGTTGTAATGTTTATTAACTGTTAAAACTTGAAACATCTTCTTGGTTTCCGATACTTTGTAAAGACCCTAGTTCTTCTAAATTAAAGATCTTTCACTTTTGGATTTTAAATATCTTTCTATTTTGTATTCAATATGTCGTATTTTTAAAAAGTTTAAATGATATTTTATTTGCGTACGGCTCCTAAAGAATTCTGTACTTTTGATGATTATTTAAAAGATCTTATAATAATGAGTTTGTAGGGATGTTTGTATTTGGGATGTGACTGTAGAACTTTCAACAAAAACATTGTTGATGTTTGGGATGTGACTGTAGAACTTTCATCAAGAACATTGTTGATGTTTGGGATGTGACTGTAGAACTTTCAACAAGTACATTGTTGATGTTTGGGATGTGACTGTAGAACTTTCAACAAGAACATTGTTGATGTTTGGGATGTGACTGTAGAACTTTCAACAAGAACATTGTTGATGTTTGGGATGTGACTGTAGAACTTTCAACAAGAACATTGTTGATGTTTGGGATGTGACTGTAGAACTTTCAACAAGAACATTGTTGATGTTTGGGATGTGACTGTAGAACTTTCAACAAGAACATTGTTGATGTTTGGGATGTGACTGTAGAACTTTCAACAAGAACATTGTTGATGTTTGGGATGTGACTGTAGAACTTTCAACAAGAACATTGTTGATGTTTGGGATGTGACTGTAGAACTTTCAACAAGAACATTGTTGATGTTTGGGATGTGACTGTAGAACTTTCACCAAGAACATTGTTGATGTTTGGGATGTGACTGTATAACTTTCAACAAGAACATTGTTGATGTTTGGGATGTGACTGTAGAACTTTCAACAAGAACATTGTTGATGTTTGGGATGTGACTGTAGAACTTTCAACAAGAACATTGTTGATGTTTGGGATGTGACTGTAGAACTTTCAACAAGAACATTGTTGATGTTTGGGATGTGACTGTAGAACTTTCAACAAGAACATTGTTGATGTTTGGGATGTGACTGTAGAACTTTCAACAAGAACATTGTTGATGTTTGGGATGTGACTGTAGAACTTTCACCAAGAACATTGTTGATGTTTGGGATGTGACTGTAGAACTTTCAACAAGAACATTGTTGATGTTTGGGATGTGACTGTAGAACTTTCACCAAGAACATTGTTGATGTTTGGGATGTGACTGTAGAACTTTCAACAAGAACATTGTTGATGTTTGGGATGTGACTGTAGAACTTTCAACAAGAACATTGTTGATGTTTGGGATGTGACTGTAGAACTTTCAACAAGAACATTGTTGATGTTTGGGATGTGACTGTAGAACTTTCAACAAGAACATTGTTGATGTTTGGGATGTGACTGTAGAACTTTCAACAAGAACATTGTTGATTTTTGGGATGTGACTGTAGAACTTTCAACAAGAACATTGTTGATGTTTGGGATGTGACTGTAGAACTTTCAACAAGAACATTGTAGATGTTTGGGATGTGACTGTAGAACTTTCAACAAGTACATTGTTGATGTTTGGGATGTGACTGTAGAACTTTCAACAAGAACATTGTTGATGTTTGGGATGTGACTGTATAATTTGTTTTTCCAACCCATTTTGGCGCCCCCTAAGGTCGGCGCCCGGGGACATATGTACCTTGCCCCCCCCCCCATCGCTACGCCTCTGGTCTGTCTGTAATGTTATGCACGTAACAACAACAAAGAATTGAATGAAAATTGTGACTACACACGCATTTTTTGAACCAAATAAATCATGTCGATGGTTTCAACGCTGGTGTATGGTGTTTGTTACATATCGATATGTTGTTAAAATCAAAGTTTTCAACACATCAAATATTGCACCATTTTTTGGTACTAGTCCTGTTTAGTTCAAGTATAAACCAAAACAAAAATCTTGGCGAATGTCAAATGTAAAATCTGCAGTAGTATGTCACACAGGCGGTTGTGTAAGAAATGTGTGATATTGTGTGTGATATGGAATTTATATACCAAAATATATAATTAAACCAGTGTCCGACCCCCCACCCCCGGAAATTTAAGTCTGCCCTCTTCGGAAAGTTTCAAGTCCCCCCTCCCTCCCACCCGGAGTAAAAGTCTTTAAAACATTTAGTATGTTTTGTGTTCACAAATAGCTGAAGTATTTGTGTTGTTATAGATTCACACATTTTAGTTAAACAGCTGACAGCTGACATTGCGCTGTTGTAAGTAAACCCAGGGGCGTAGCGAGGGGGGGCGGGGGTGCGGACAGCAACGGGTGACACCATTTAGGGGGGTGACACCAAGGCAAAAAATAGCAAAATATATAAAGAAAAACTTGAGGGCGGGGGGGGGGGGTGCAAATCGAAAGTTTGAGAGGGGGGGGGACATCCAAAAATTTGAAAGTTTGTCCCCGGGAAGGGTCGCTACGCCTCTGGGGGGGGGGGGGGGGGTTGACACCATTAAGTGCCGCACCGGGTGACACCCGACCTCGCTACGCCACTGAGTAAACCCGAGATGGATGTAACTGTTTAGTTAACACACTTTGACGTTTGGCTGGTAAAAAGTGTGATAAGATTAGGTTTAGAGTACAAGTTAGGTTTGTGGTTTAAAGTTACACGAACTGTGTACATTCTGTTGTTATGGTTTAACAAACATTAACAAGTATTTTATTTAGTAATAAAAAATAGAAGTAATTGTTGTTGTTGGTGGTGGTGTTTGTGAGAGAGAGGGGGGGTTGGTGAGGATACTCCTATTTTGATTGAACATTAACATGTTTCATTGCAGGTATGTAGTAGTTTTATTCCCCATTTCAAGGGAAATAAACCATGTATACTATTGCATTAAAAATAAGTTATGGGTTATCTATGATTGCATTTGTAAAATTGGGTTATTTACATATTTATTGATTTAATATTCTTACCATTTTCGTGTTGCATAATTTCAATGTTTACTTTGTTTTTTGTGTATTGTTTTACATGTTGAAAATTTTGTCCCATTACAAGACAAGGACCATTTGAAAATAAGTTCCGAATGTAATAGAACCAAATGGTAGTGAATACTTTGTAGCCATGTTGTAGGCACTGAACTAGATAATTCACAGGCAAATATATGAAATGCCAGCATTATATTGAGATAAAATTGTTAGATTTGTAGCGTAAGTTTTGTCATTATTGGACCACTATTCAACTTCATCAGATTGGGGTATATTTTGTTAACAACCATTGGACCGCTTACCTTCATCACTTTGGTGTATATTTTGTTAACAACCATTGCAGCACTTACCTCCATCCGATTGATCGCTGCTATGTCTGACGTTGATATCGAAGACCTGGTCTAGGCGGGGGCGGGTCTTGATGGCGGGGGCCGAATTGGTGGAGGAGTGGGGGTAGCCGCTGTCTGCCTCCATGTCTGCTGTTAGAGGCAAGGGGGGGGGGGTGAAACAGTTGTGAGGGGACAGTGTAATACATGACTATGTGATCATTCACTCCTCTAATGTTGTTGATCAAACCTAGCCCCGTATACGTGACTTACACAAGCTGGATGAGTTTCTCTTGAACAAGGAGCGGACGATCTTGGAGCTGCCGATGTGTTTGTCTTGTGTCTGGCTGGTCTCATAGAACCATTGGTTGGACAGGATCTTGTAGGACCTGAGGACAGGACATAGAGGACTTGAGGACATAGGACTAATGTAGGACTAGAGGACATAGTACTTATAGGACTTGAGGACATAGGACTAATGTAGGACATGAGGACATAGAACCATTGGTTGGACAGGATCTTGTAGGACCTGAGGACATAGGACATAGAGGACTTGAGGACATAGGACTAATGTAGGACTAGAGGACATAGTACTTATAGGACTTGAGGACATAGGACTAATGTAGGACATGAGGACATAGAACCATTGGTTGGACAGGATCTTGTAGGACCTGAGGACATAGGACATAGAGGACTTGAGGACATTGGACTTGAGGACATAGGACTAATATAGGACTAGAGGACATAAGGCGTAGAGGACCTGGGGACGTAGGACTAATGAAGGAGATGCGGGCAAAGGAATAACGAAGGACATGACGACATCAATGTGGGATCATATGCTTATTAAAATGCAGACACAAGACTTACTTTTCTTTAATGCAGACACAAGACTTACATTTCTTTAATGCAGACACAAGACTTACATTTCTTTAATGCAGACACAAGACTTACATTTCTTTAATGCAGACACAAGACTTACATTTCTTTAATGCAGACACAAGACTTACTTTTCTTTAATGCAGACCATACAGATGAGCCCGTCCTTCTTGTTACTTCTTGGCTGGCAACATTTGTTGCAGACGTTGAGCTGGCACCTGTAGCAGACCCGCTTCCGGTGGAAGATGATGCCGAACCTCTCTAGACAGAGGATGCAGTTGGTGTCGTTAAACTTTGGCTTTTCTTTCAGTAGCGCCACACGGTTTTGTTCCCTCGCCAGTTCTTCTCTCGCCTCGCTGTTAGTGGGGACAGAAGTCAAGGGTTAGGTTAAGACAATTTGCTCTAATAAAGGGTAAAACGGCAAAAATAATTCTTCACGAAATTTTTCTCTACTCATTTTAGTTGCCCACCAACCTGTTGCCCACCAACCTGTTGCCCACCAACCTATTGCCGACCAACCTGTTGCCCACCAACCTGTTGCCCACCAACCTATTGCCTACTAACCTGACCCGTCGTTTCTCCGCCCGCCGGACCTGGAAGTCCTTCTGTAGGACGTCCATGATCTGGTCGCACTCCTCGGTCGTTAGGTGGGACAAGTTCAGCTTCTTGCCCATCTTTAGCACGTTAGTAGGTCTTGTCACGTGGTCTGGTAGGTCTTGTCACGTGAACTAGTAGATTTTGTCACGCTGCCTCACAAACTAGAGATTCACCCTGGAATTAAAAAAAAAAAGAATGTTAATTTATCAAATTTCTCAAATTATTTCCATAAAATGGCGTTGATAGTTTAGCTTTACATGTAGTTGGATGTGGTATAAGTCAGCGTTGTACTGAGAAGTGTTGGTACTTAAGGTTAGGGTAAATGTTAGGATACAACGTGGCAGTGTTAGACACGACTGAGACAGTGGGATGTCCCTGTGGTAGGATTTAACGTGTTTTGTCGGTATGGTGGAACAAACAACACAACATATACAGTGAGGCTTACGAGATATTGGTTTAACATGATGAATTTGGCATATAAACTTGACACATGAACTTGACACATGAACTAGACACATGAACATGACACATAGACTTTTGAAATTTAAATGTCACACGTTTTTAAAAAAATGTGTACCAAGATTTAACCAAAATTCAAAAGTAAAAAATTATCATAAATTGCAACTGAACATTATCCCATTTTACATATAAGAAATTATTGCATTTTACACAAGTAATTGATTCCATTTTATATATAAGAAGTTATCATATTTTACTAGTATGAAATAACCACATTTCACAAGAAAGTAATGGTCACATTTCACATTGATTTTATAAACTTCATCATTTGATCAATCAGGCAAGCACAACAGAATCAAGAGAAAAATACAAGTTTTTAAATCTCTTACTTGCTGTTATGGTTGTACGGAAAATAGTTCTAACACAGAGATATTGAAACTTTCTCAGTAGATTCGCCTCGCTGATTTTGTTACAGTCCACACAACAAAGAAAGAAATTAAAAGTTTGGAAATTTTAGTCTGAAGGTATGGATGACATCATAAGATAGACAACGATGACTGGACGGTATAGTTTAAAAACGCGCGCGGTGACAATTGTCTATCAGCACGTATAGTTGTTCAAGTCTGGCTTGTCTAATTAGTTTCGGTTGCTTAAAGTTCGTGGTCATAACCGTCGTTATATCATGTGTATGTGCAGTCAGTGTTATGTGATGTGTATGTGCATAGTTTTAATGTCTTAAGGACGTCACCAAATCGTTGCTTGCCGACATCGTCACGTTATACGATTAGAATGTGCTGGCCGCACTTTGGTCCATGACAACGATCTTTTTGTAAGAGTGGTGGTGTGTATATGGGGGTAGTGGTTTGTGTATATATGGCAGAATTGTTTATAAGGTAGAGGTATTTGTGTGCATACGACAGAGGTGTGTGTGTGTGTGTGATTATGGAGGAAACGTTTTGTTTATGTGACTGGGTCGTTTTTTAAAGTGGAAAACAGTGTACACAATATGTGTCTCGGTGTGTGGAAGGGGCGTCTCCGTATGTGGCTTGATGGGCGTCTATGTGTGTGGAAGGGGCGTCTCCGTGTGTGGAAGGGGCGTCTCTGTGTGTGGAAGGGGCGTCTCCGTGTGTGGAAGGGGCGTCTCTGTGTGTGGAAGGGGCGTCTCCGTGTGTGGGTTGATGGGCGTCTCTGTGTGTGGCTTGATGGGCGTCTCTGTGTGTGGAACGGGCGTCTCCGTGTGTGGAAGGGGCGTCTCCGTGTGTGGAACGGGCGTCTCGGTGTGTGGAAGGGGCGTCTGTGTGTGTGGAAGGGGTGTCTCGGTGTGTGGAAGGGGCGTCTCCGTGTGTGGGTTGATGGGCGTCTCTGTGTGGGTGGAAGGGGTTTTTCTCAGGTGGAGGGGAACTTGAAAATGTTGTGAGGAGGGGGAGAGGGCGGACACAAAAGTACATATTTTCTATATAAATTCTTCTTCGTTTGGTGGTGGTGATGGGAGGGGGGCGGTAGACGAGCTTTGGGGGTGGGGGTGAATGCCCCCCCCTCCGCATAGGGATGCCTGAAAAAATAGTGATCTTTGGTGTCTTTGTAAACATGCTACGGACGTTGTATTTACGTCAAAGGGTCTTACATTCGCTGCAATTCACAATGTTTTTCTATCGATCAATCCAACCTATAGTATCTGGTTTAATGGCTATCGATATCAACAACAAAGATGTATCAACTCGGTGGCTGAGTTAGGGTTAGCCTTTGGATGTTTACTGAAAAATCGTCAACGAAATACAAAACTATACGAATTGTCGGATAATTTTGGATATCAAAGTCCAACGAACCAGTGATGTTATTAAACGAAGTGCGTTACATATCTCTGGTTATTAGACTGTATAGTTTTGTAGAGAAGAACTAACATTTTAAGTATCAATGGGATATAAATCATTGAGAAGTTACGTATACGTGGTGGTAGGCTAGTTGTGATATTTAACATTTAAAAATTTAGTCAACTGAAATATGGCCAGGTTTTAAAACAGTTGGTCAATAGTAGAAATTCTATGTAGAGACATGGTTATATAAAGAAAGTGGTCTTTAATTTAGTTTTTGGTTGTATAAAAAAGAGTTCGATTGTATAAAAAGTTGGTAAATTATGCAGAAAGTTGGGCAGTTGAATAATTAGAAATAATTCATCATAGCTTGATTGTGACTCAGTAAAGTTTAAATACATAAAAATGTTTTGGGTCATGCTATTAAAACAAACGATACAGTGAGTCATCATGCCTGAAACTATTACACTGTGAAAACGAGCTATCTTTAGATGTGTTTCTGATCTTTATTATTTTACCTTCTTATCTTTGTTTTATTATTATTATGGTTTTCTTTTCTTCTTCAAAACCTAAATTTCTGTGTGTACGAAATGAACTCAGAAGATGACAGAACCCCCCCCCCCCCTCCAACCCACCCATACCAACACTTGTATGTGTAGAAACGTCGAATACAATTGTTTTTGTAGGATAAACTATTGAATCCCTTATAGCAATATGCAGTCAACATTTTTTGTGATTCAATTTCCCAATGTAACAACCGAACTCTGCCCTATAGATAATTTGTTGATAGGTAATTAGGTCAGCGGCAACAGGTTGGGTTTGAGAGTTGTACAACTTGTTGTAGCCTCCACGGTGGCGTCACGAGTTTATGAGCCCCCCCCCCTCCTGTACTTGGGTATAGGATGTCAGATAAATGAGATCGTTATTTGAACATTAACGTGGATGGCAAGCTTGAACCACACGGCCCTTTAAAAAACAAAAAAACAAAAAAAAACAACTTTAAAACATGCTACTATATTTTATTGCAGCACTGTTTATCTAGGGATTCAATTTAAAATTGAACTGTTTATCTATATTGCATAATTTTTTATAATTATTATAAGCTTTTTTATTTAGGTCACAATGTCTGTCTGTATGCTTGTTTGTTTGTTTGTTTCCTTTTTGTGGATTTGTGGTAAATCCTTTAATTCAACTTTGACTCATTAAAAATGCACCGATTTCGTTCAAACTTTCCAGGTACATATGTTTTCGATGACAATGCAATGATATTTATGTTTTATTTTAATTTGAAATAAGACATGTCGCTAATGTTAAATTAAAAGATTATTAATTCATTATTAAAAATATGAGATAACAAGATTAAAAACTAGAAAACGGTGTTTTTTTTTTTACGGATGACTGATCTTGTGCTTGAAACTCTGACCATGGGCTAAGAAGAGGAAAATAACTATCTATAGTGACTGATCGAGTATATTTATTTTAGTGATTGCCTATGTGGTGTCAACTCCATTTAGAATGAAGGACTAAAAAGGGGAAAATAAAACATAAAAAAAACAACGTAAATAACAAGCACTTGCATACAAATAAGGAAATAAAACAAATTTTATTTCTTTAATAAAATCTACACTATGTTCACTAAAATATACAATAGATCTCTTGAAAGACCAAAGCTTTGATTAACGAAAGTAAATTAGTTTTATGTTTTTATTTTCAGTGCATTTAAACCTATTTATTAGAAAGTTTTTTCATTAGATTTATTTAAGTAAAGTTTCAGTCTACGTGTGTTCGCTAAACTTTGGTTTAAGTGTTGTCTAGTCTATGTGTATCCTAAAGGCCTACGGTTTATTTGTTCTACCACTTGTTTTAAAAAGGGGACATGCTAGATGAGAAGAACATGTTACAGGAAATATGCTATTGTGTGAGTTTAGAGATTTCAGGGTAAAAGTTTGGCAGAACTAGAGAAACATCAGCATAAAATGTATACAGTGGTTAGGTTATAGTGGTGGGAATGTGCAGGTGAGGCAGTGTTGAATCAAAGACGTCGAATAATTTAAATAAAGTAGAGTACATGTAAGATGCGGGTCCTATATTTATTTAGCTAATATTTAAATGAATGAAAGGCGCGGCATAGCATTCAATAATTATAAAGAAACATACCAGATTTTTTAAAAAATATATATTTACGTCGATATTTGGTTGGTAAAATCCACAATGTTGATTGCCGTAGAAAAGCGTGTCAATATAAATATTGTAATTAATTGCTATAGGAGTAATTAGTTCTGCCAATATATTTGACAGCTAATCAATGTCAAGGCTACAAAATATTGATTTGTGTCTTATTTGTTTGACCCAGAATAATTAGGTCATCGGACAGCTTTCATTAAAGAAAACTAATTAACCTTCACACAAAATTACTTGGATTTTAATTAATCGTTATGTCGTTTATCAATGTATTTGTTTAGTAAGAATTTCTGTTTTAATTATTTGCTATCTCCACTAAAGTTGAAGTCTAAGACTAGACGAAAAAAATATTTTAATTAATCAGCTGTTAATGTGAAGGGGAAACTACGCGTGTACACTGTATCTTGTCTAAAATCGATTTTTGTTTTAATTGAAAAAAAGGTAGGCACTCACAGTGAACTTTGACCTGGTGTGTCACGAGGTCACGGGAACCCCACCTGCTGGTGGACTGGTGTCGTACAGACATGTGCTGGGGTCAGAGACACGGCCATATTGTTTTTGTATGACGTCACTGTCCTAACGATAACCGTAGAATTGTTTAGAAGGAATACATTACTGGCCTAGCTTTACATGGATCTAGTCTCTAGTCTTTATTTATTGTTACTTTATTTGTTGTGAAATCTCCACAAGTAAAACACGTGACTTGATACCACCTAGTGGTTACGCATTTAAGAAAAAAAATCTCTCAACTAAGCTCTACATGTAAACATTGAATGACATCAACCATCGAGAGTTTAACAGTACCGTTTAAAAAAATGATTCTAACACGAAAGTCTCGAGTTCGGATCCCGGCATCGAATCCATAGGGTGTCCCTAAATCTACCCAGCACTCAAGGGCACCCCCCTCCCCCCCCCCCCCCGAATGCCAAGGCCATTGAAACAAATGAACTCTACTTCACCTACCCTATGTGTCTCGAGCGCGAAAGAGAAAAGACAATGGTATAAAAATATTGTGGATGATAGTTTAAACAATCCCTTCAGGTAACTTAATTAAGCATCAATTGTTGAATGATCCTTAGAGCATTAGGCCCCACTTTATTTTTTCAGAAGAAAACAAATATACATCCAATCCATGTTTAAAAATAAATATAAACAAAAGAAATAAAGTCTCGAGAACACAACCTTGGTGTAGTAGATAAACACATCACATCCTTATTAGACAGAGCACATCCCACCAGCTGTAGAGGCAATGAAGTCAATACAACACGTTGTTTACATCCCTTTAGTAGAACACAGCGTTCACTTAACCACGGTCTTGTTCTATTAACCAATAAGTTATCGTTCTTTGTGCACATGTGGGACTGCAGAGTTATTTCCCTTAAAACAATCGAAAAAGTGGCGAAATACTGTAAGCCATCTACTTTTAAGGACCACTTGACGTATCTGCGTTTAAATATGGAGGAAAAGAATCAATAGCGTGTAGTGAATATCAGGTGTTTTTTGGGGCTTGTGGGCTGTATGGTTGTCAGCTGGGGTCTTGTTGGCTGTATGGTTGTCAGCTGGGGGCTTGTGGGCTGTATGGTTGTCAGTTGGGGGCTTGGGGGCTGTGTATTTTAACATGACGCTGGGGCTTGTGGGCTGTATGGTTGTCAGCTGAGGCTTGTGGGCTGTGTATTTTAACATGACGCTGGGGCTTGTGGGCTGTATGGTTGTCAGCTGAGGCTTGTGGGCTGTGTATTTTAACATGACGCTGGGGCTTGTGGGCTGTATGGTTGTCAGCTGAGGCTTGTGGGCTGTGTATTTTAACATGACGCTGGGGCTTGTGGGCTGTATGACAGGCTATAAATTTTGTCAAATGGGGGCTTGGGGCTGTATGGTTGTTACCTTTGGGCTTGGGGGCTGTATCGCTGTCAGCTGAAGCTTGTGGCTGTGTATTTTGCCAGCTGGGGGTTTGGGGGCTGTGGGGTTGTCAGCTGGGGGTTTGGGGGCTGTGTGGTTGTCAGCTGGGGGTTTGGGGGCTGTGTGGTTGTCAGCTGGGGGTTTGGGGGCTGTATGACTGCAGGTATAAGTAATTTTTTAGCTGAGGCGTGTGGGCATCATGTGTACATGTTAAACTTATGGCTGCAGATGTCAGTCAGATTAGTGGTTTGTGGTTTGTGGTCTGTGGTTTGTGGTTTGTGGTCTGTGGTTTGTGGTCTGTGGTCTGTGGTTTGTGGTTTGTGGTTTGTGGTCTGTGGTCTGTGGTCTGTGGTCTGTGGTTTGTGGTCTGTGGTTTGTGGTCTGTGGTTTGTGGTCTGTGGTTTGTGGTCTGTGGTTTGTGGTTTGTGCATGCTTTATCAAAGGGAAACAACTGAACCAATTTTATTAGGATTGTTAGTTACCGAGTCATCTACCTTCCATTTCAGAAATATCGTGGTTTGTTTTGATCCATGACATTGGCATAATGTTGTGTTTATTTTCTCAAGCGTATTCAATATTAAGTTGAGTTTAAATTTATGTTTGGTAAGTTTTGTTTAGATGAAGATTATAGCACCAGTATAAATGCAAGTTTGGGTTTTTATTTAGGTTTGAGACTGATGTTATTAGTTTAAATGGTCAAAAAATATTGGAAGTTAGTATACGTGTATGTTACGTCTAGGTTTAGATTTCCGCTTAGATTTATGTTCACTTTAGCAGAGCGCCCGCGTTGCGCTGCGCGCTGGTGGCGGTAGCACGTCCCTTATGTATGCATCGCATTGATGTGGATATTTCTTCAGCGCACCCCATTTATATATTTTTGATAGGGAAACAAAATTTCAAAACAACACCCGTGATTTACTTTATCTGAATCACAGTCATAATAATTATTAGGCGATTTGATTGTAGCGCGAACCACCTAAGAATACTTGCTAGGTGGAATTGTTAAGTATAAATCTTAGAGAGATAATTTTCTTCTGATGTTGACTTACACGTGACAGGAAACAATGTCTATCGGAACGAACAAACATACTGATATGTAAAATTAGCATAATGATTTGAAGATTTTGGTTAACTTGAAAGTATTAACTTTTATTACTTAAATTTTAGAAATAAATTTCAGCTCAATATTACGATTACAAAGTTAATTATATTTAAATCTATTCTCAGAGATTGAAAGAAACTTGAGGCATTAGAAGGAAGTAACTGTAGCTACACTTCTGACCAAAGCTCTGGTGAGTGATCTCGTTATGAACCAGATGGCGCCAGATCCTCAGGTCTGGCTTGGTTCTCTACCCGGATGTTGACCTGAGGCGGGTCAAGCTTCACCGGAGGAACATCGTTAGGCAGAGCCTGGGCCACGTGGGTGGAGTTCCGGTAGATTTGATCTGGAACATTCTCGCCACGCTCGGCTGATCGCTTGCCTACACCGACGGCATCCCAGTACAGATGGATATCTGTTCCGATGACGTCATCGAACCTGCCGGTAACCGTGAAGACGTATCTGTTTTCGTTCGACAGGTCGTTGATTACATTTTGAGCATTTGGGAAAGCGTTTTTCATGTCGTTCCACAGCCAAGGTCGTGAACTCTCCTCACTCTGTCGCTTGAGTGCCCTGTAGAAGGGGGTATTGGAATCGCCGAACTTGTAGTTGAAATTAGGACGGTTACATCGACCACGATACTGGTAATGGTAGTTGGTATCGATACTGTTGGCTCCTCCACCACAACGCATGAAGCCTTGAAACTCCGTGGAAAACTTGGCTAAAATAGTAGCCGTGTAGGTCATGGAAGTTCTGGTCTTGGTCAAGACGAGTCTCCATTTGGCAGCAGAGTTTCCTTCAAGAGTTTTCGACGTGCTGACTGTGAAAGTTTTTGACTGTTCTTTCCTTGATTCGTCCGTGGTAGTTCTGGAGTTTTGATAGTTAAACTTGTAGCCGTAAGAAGCACCAATGCCAAAAGGTGTGTACGTAAATTGAATGTTTAACTCAGTGCCTGCGCTAAAGGAGCTTGTCACAGTATGTGTAACGCTACGGACACTGGTCTCAGAACGTGTGATTGATTTTGTTGCTTGCGTTGGGTCGTTGTTGTAGATAGTTCCAGTGTCGATCGTTTCGGTTGCCAGACTTTGGGATGAAGGATTTCCGTATTGGATGTCTTTGATTTCATAGCTCCAGTCACCAAAAGCCAGGTTTAGACGCCTGTCATTAGAATGACCTTCGCAACGACCACTTTTATCGGCGTACCACGTGTCGCCGCTCCTTCTAAAATCTTCTCCAACATACGGTGATCTGCATCCAGCGGCCCAGCCGTAGCCCAGGTAATGTGCCAGCAGAGCCATGGTCGTCAATGTCGTGTCCATGATGCGAGTCTTCACCTTGTACAGATCATTCAGTTGTTGTGGTGCTGTAGCTAATTTGCAACACCGCAGCTTATCAAGACAGTTAAGGTTATGACACACCCCTCGGAATAAACCTGTGATGTAATAGCCGGAGTTACACCTGCACAGTCCTCTGTTATTAAAACACGTTGAGATGTCCGCGTCGTAACAATGTCCGTAGCTTAAAGGATGGTCTGCCGGCTTAGAACACCGCCCTTCCTCAATGTTAAACAACAAACCTCTGTTGTCCTTGCTCCTGTAGAGACCGTGCAGGAAGTATCCAGCCGGACAGTTAGACCAGAAGTTGCCCTTGTCGAACGAGTTCCACCAGTCGGCGTACACGACCTGTGTGTATGAGCTGTTCCACGGCGCCTCCCGGCTGCAGCATTCGGCCTGCTCCAGTAGGTTGAGGTTGTCGTCACGTGTACTGTCCCCGCGGTACAGCCCGGAGATGAAGTCAAAGTCGCTGTCACACTTGGACAGCCCCTGCTTGCTCATGGTCGTCTTCCAGTCAGATCTGCTGCAGACGGCATCAGCAGTGTACACCAGCAGAGAGAGAAGCAGCACGGCTCCAGACAAATACATCTTCAGCGTATAGGCTGTAGAGAAAAAAAAAGTAATTTTGATATTAAGCATGTTTGGTTTAAACAAAGTTAAAGTAGGAATTTGTTGAGCTTAATTCAGCTACTTATATTGTACTTAAGTAATTGTGTTAAGATACCCAGTCAATTTAAATGTACGTTATGTGGGGGTCAGAGTTTAATGCCTGAAAGACTCCGCTGATAGCGATTTTGTAAAACAAAAATCTTCAGAATATGCAATTGCTCGGAAATATTATTTTTTCAAATATTTCAATGTTAAGGTAGAACTTTATTTATAATATCGATAACTGGGTAAACAAAAGTACCAACATGATTTATTTTTTTAATTTAAAATTTGAGAAATTATTATTCATTGATATTAATATTTAACAAAAATATCTTTAAGACAGAAAGGTTTAGAACACATTAGGCGGTGATTTTAAAATTAAAACAAACTAATTTTAGTTAAAAAAAAAAACTTTGTTAAACATCTGGATGTGTTTGATGATATACGTACATAGTGTGTCCGCCTTACTGATAGCAATGTTAGTTCAGACAGTGGTCCCTGCCTGATTGTAAGGTGTCCTTGGTTGATTGTAAGGTGTCCCTGCCTGATTGTAAGGTTGATTGGTACCGATTGTTGTGTGGCTTTTATACCCGTGCCTCAGGTACCCCCAGGTACACGGCCACCCTGATGTCCGGGTATCACGATCAACAACGTCCTGTACTGTAACAACTTTCTCAGAACGTATCCTGACCTCAGCAATGTCCCGTACTGTAACAACTTTCTCAGAACGTATCCTGACCTCGACCATGTTGCAACAACTGACACAACAAATCAGCAACCAGAACCTGGTACATTTGTCTTACATCCTTAGGCGATGTTTGTCTGCCGGTCTCAATTCTGTGAAACTCTTGACGTGTTTGTAGATAATATCTTGTTTTCTAAGAAAGAAACTGAAAACTGAGAACTATACATATTTTTATTGGGAGGTTAAACAGATGTCCCCCCCCCCTTTTTTTTTGACATTCACAAACCAGAGATAAGTGGCGTCGCTAGGTCGGGTATCACCCGGTGTGGCACCTCATGGTGTCACCCCCTACCCCCAACCCTATCACTAAACCAAATATGCTGCTCTATATTTTTCATTATTGTGTCTTGGTGTCACCCCCCTAAATGGCGTCACCTGGTGTGCTACTCCACCCCCCCCTCCAGCGAAAATGAATACAATGTTTACTTATGCACATTCACAAAAGTCCCTTAAAACACATGTATTATTGACGTCAAAGATAAATAATAAATGACACCATGTATTCTGAATTAAGAGTCAAGTACTCTGAGTGTGACTCCGAGTCACGTAAAATATTTAGATTGCAGTCACACAAGATATTCTGTGAGTCACGTAAAGTCATAAGTTTAGAGTCATATTGTACATTTGAGTCACGTCGAATATTCGATGTTTCATCTATATTTAATGTTCAATAATTTCGCTTCAATGTAGGTATTATTTTATTAGAAGTTCATGAAAGTGAAACTGTAAAAGAAGGTATAGGTCCTGTGTATATAAGGACACGCTAAATTCCGATCAGGAAGTCGTGTTGTATTGCGTAATAAAAGTCTTAATAAACAAGTTTAATCAGTCAACACACATAAACGTGGTCTACTATTAAGTTGTACAATGTTGATACATTTAAAGATAAATTTGGTCTATTATTAGGTGGTACAATGTTGATAGATTTAAAGATTAACGTGGTCTACTATTAAGTTGTACAATGTTGATACATTAAAAGATAAACGTAGTCTACTATTAAGTTGAACAATGTTGATACATTTAAAGATTAAAGTCGTTAGTGTTCTATTATTAAGTGGTACAATGTTGATAGATTTAACGATAAACGTGTTCTGCTCTACGTCGGATGATCACGTGTGTTGGTGGTGACTGGCAGAGTGAATGCCCTTGTCAAAACTCTTGTTGATGTCCGCTTGATTGTGTTTGGGGCTTGAACGATAGTTAAAACAACTGAAACAGGTGATCTAAACAGGTGATCTAAACAGGTGATCTAAACAGGTGATCTAAACAGGTGATCTAAACAGGTGATCTAAACAGGTGATCTAAACAGGTGATCTAAACAGGTGATCTAAACAGGTGATCTAAACAGGTGATCTAAACAGGTGATCTAAACAGGTGATCTAAACAGGTGATCTAAACAGGTGATCTAAACAGGTGATCTAAACAGGTGATCTAAACAGGTGATCTAAACAGGTCATCTAAACAGGTCATCTAAACAGGTCATCTAAACAGGTCATCTAAACAGGTGATCTAAACAGGTGATCTAAACAGGTGATCTAAACAGGTGATCTAAACAGGTGATCTAAACAGGTGATCTAAACAGGTGATCTAAACAGGTGATCTAAACAGGTGATCTAAACAGGTGATCTAAACAGGTGATCTAAACAGGTGATCTAAACAGGTGATCTAAACAGGTGATCTAAACAGGTGATCTAAACAGGTGATCTAAACAGGTGATCTAAACAGGTGATCTAAACAGGTGATCTAAACAGGTGATCTAAACAGGTGATCTAAACAGGTGATCTAAACAGGTGATCTAAACAGGTGATCTAAACAGGTGATCTAAACAGGTGATCTAAACAGGTGATCTAAACAGGTGATCTAAACAGGTGATCTAAACAGGTGATCTAAACAGGTGATCTAAACAGGTGATCTAAACAGGTGATCTAAACAGGTGATCTAAACAGGTGATCTAAACAGGTGATCTAAACAGGTGATCTAAACAGGTGATCTAAACAGGTGATCTAAACAGGTGATCTAAACAGGTGATCTAAACAGGTGATCTAAACAGGTGATCTAAACAGGTGATCTAAACAGGTGATCTAAACAGGTGATCTAAACAGGTGATCTAAACAGGTGATCTAAACAGGTGATCTAAACAGGTGATCTAAACAGGTGATCTAAACAGGTGATCTAAACAGGTGATCTAAACAGGTGATCTAAACAGGTGATCTAAACAGGTGATCTAAACAGGTGATCTAAACAGGTGATCTAAACAGGTGATCTAAACAGGTGATCTAAACAGGTGATCTAAACAGGTGATCTAAACAGGTGATCTAAACAGGTGATCTAAACAGGTGATCTAAACAGGTGATCTAAACAGGTGATCTAAACAGGTGATCTAAGCAGGTGATCTAAGCAGGTGATCTAAGCAGGTGATCTAAGCAGGTGATCTAAGCAGGTGATCTAAACAGGTGATCTAAACAGGTGATCTAAACAGGTCATCTAAACAGGTCATCTAAACAGGTGATCTAAACAGGTGATCTAAACAGGTGATTTAATCAGGTGATCCGAACAGGTGATCCAAACAGCTGATCTAAACAGGTCATCTGAACAGCTGATCTAAACAGGTGATCCGAACAGGTGATCTAAACAGGTCATCTAAACAGGTGATCTAAACAGGTTGTCTAAAGAGCTGATCTAAACAGGTGATTTAAAAACAGCTGATCTAAACACCTAATCTAAACACCTAATCTAAACACCTAATCTAAACACCTAATCTAAACATCTAATCTAAACAACTGATCTAAACACCTAGACATGTGACCTACTTAGGTCTAGTTATGTTTTATTTTTAGTTTGACACTGTTATAATACCATATATGGATTGATGGTGCAACAACCGGGTTTTTTCCACTGTCTTATTAAGAGTGTCTAAGACTAAGAAATTTTCCATCAAGATCTGATTGATTGATTCAGATCAGATGACCACCCCAACCAATGGCTACATGAGTTGAGGATAACCTCCCCTGTTGCCTAAGTCTTTAACTAGATCGCACACAGGCAGCACGAGGCAGTCCATCTTGACCAGGCCGTCCATATTGTCCGGCAATTCATTCTGACCATTTTGAACGTGAGAGAACTTAAGTCCTGAGTGTGCTATGCATTCTTAAGTTGTTTTAGTATTCTAGTATTATATTACTTGAGGCCAAGTGATTCCAGATGCTATAGCAGTGTTGTGTGACCTGTGGCTATTTTTATAAAGTGTTAGAATCTGTGATAGTATTTTTTCTTACGCTTTGTACGTTGGGTTTTGTTATTTTCTAAATTAAATATTTTATCTTGTTTAACCTAGTGTTCTGCCACAACTGTGTTCGCTTATTAAAGGTTGTATGCAGATTGAATGAGTTGTTAACTTCAATAGTATCACTAGTTTTCCCTAGACATCGAAATCGAGCCCTAGTGTGTTGTTGAGTTAGTGTTCATTCATTTAGGCTTTATGTCATTTGCATATAACCCCAAAAAAGAATCCGGGGGCGTTCACCATCTATCTGGCTGGTAGATAGGTGTCCGTTACAGACACCTTACGTAAACAGGTGATCTAAACACTTAATCTAAACACCTTATATAAACAGGTAATGTAACGGGTGATCTAAACACCTTATATAAACACCTTATATAAACAGGTGATGTAACAGTGGATCTAAACACAATTTCTAACTTGCCGATACACATCAATGCTTTTGTTTTATTCACCAACTTTCGTTAGCACTGCCCATTGTAAACACACACACACACTTTCACACACACACACACAGACACACACATACACACACACCCATACACTTGTAAACAACACGTAGGCCTAGACACAAAAACAAAGCTATGTAAATTTGAATGGTTTAATAAAGCTCTCTGTTCCCGGAACTGTGATGATTTGTTCTACAGATGGCCGGGAGACCCGAGTGGTTCTAGGTAATCATATCTGTAAAGAGATGATTGTGGTATAATCATTTCTGTAAAGAGATGATTGAGGTACACACATATTTTTATGGTAACTGTTTACTGTTCACATAGTGTAATGTTATAAAGTTGAGATCCATAAATGATGTTATACCAAGTGGGTAGGTGAGGGTTAAATACATGTGACGTAAGCAACTATGTTAATTTAAATTTAATGAGCAAATAAAATAATGAAAAGAGGTGGCGGGTGTTAAGAGGTGGAAGATTTTGACGTCATTGGAGAGAAAAAAGGGGAAGGGAGGTGGTTGTTTCACGATGTGTGAGATGTTGATTTCGTTGGCTACATAAGCGTGACGTCACTTTTATCCTCTCCCCTCCCCCCCCCCCTCCCCGCACACCCTCATTTGTGTGTGTTCATTTTCTTCGTGGAAAATAAATTTGACAACTTGTTGCTGAGGAAAGCAGATCAAGATGATGAACAAATTATGTTACACGAAGGACGTGGTGTGTTTTTTTTTATATTTTTGAGAGTTTGGATAGAAATTGTACATTTTTTTTTTAATTTTGCGAGATTAACATGTTAAAAACAGTTTATAGTTCATAGATGGAGGAGGGTAGGGTGTGGGGGGAAATATTTTAGGTTAGTTGATAGACTTGGGTTGGTTGTCGATGGTAAAGTAACATAGAGTTAGTTTATTTGGTGTAAACGGTGGAACAATGTATCTCAGTTTTAGGTTTTATAATAATATGTGCTAGAAGATACAGAGTCGGAGTGTTCAGATGAACGTGTCTTATGTTGTGTAATATGTGCATGATACATACAGTGGTAGGATGGTGAGATGAACGTGTCTTAT